TTCTTCGGGCAGGATCGGTCTGCATGGGTCGAGGCCATTTAGTGTCTTTGATGCGTCCGATGGACGACACGATAACGGATGCACCAACGCTGAAGTTATATTCTGATAATCGAGGTGCTTCTATAGGATCGTCATATTTATCGAAGCCGCTCTTACTCATAAGTCCTCGAGAATTTTGCCCTCGATCAATCCTTCAATTGTTCCAAACTGCATTGCGTGCTGAACCGTTGTTCACCCGATCTGCAACGTACGGTCGATATCGGTCTCTGTTAGACCTTTGTTCTCTGTCGATCTCCTTTTGGTTTTTAGTAACTGTCCTGTTCTGATGAACGGGTCCGTACAGAGCTCCCAACTGATCATCCTCGACCCTAATTTTCGATTGGTATCCGTTGTGTACATCTGCCCAAGTTATCGTTGGATACTCGATCAAATTTTGTTTCAGCCGATGTGATGCTGTCGAGCTTAGCTCGTTCAACCCTTGGGTGAAAGCTTGTACGGCCCAATCGTCTGTGACCGGGGGTAATTCCATGCAATCCAATTGAAATCGGGATACGAATTCCCTCAACATTTCATTCTCCCTTTGATTTACTTTGAAGAGGTCTGATTTCCTTGTTGCAACCTTTATGGCACCAGCATGTGCCTTTACGAATGAATCTGCTAATATGGCAAAAGAATCAATGGAATTCGATGGTAAATTGTGATACCAGATCATCGCTCCCTTCGAGAGGGTCTCCCCGAACCTTTTCAACAACACAGATTCGATCTCATCGTCCTCCAAATCGTTGCCTTTGATGGCACATGTGTAAGAGGTGACATGCTCGTTAGGATCGGTCGTACCGTTATATTTGGGAATTTCGGGCATACGGATTTTTTTGGGGATTGGTTTCGATGCCGCATTCAACGGAAAAGGCTTTTGTATGAATTTTTTCGAATCAAGCCCCTTTATCATTGGTGGAGCCCCTGGGATTTGATCGACCCTGGCATTGTATGTTTCCACTCTCTTGTCGTTGGCTTCGACTCGTTTTGTGAGTTTCTCGAGCAATTTAGTAATTCCGGGAGTAGTCCCCGATTCTTGCTCGTTAGATTTCACTATGGCGGGTTCTGTTCTGGGGGTGACTTCTCGAAGTGGATTGGAATCCGGCCTGCATTGTGCGCGAGTTTTGCTCTGTAACTGAGCTATCGCTACTTGTTGGGCTTGTAGCATCTCGAAGATCATACGTAAGCTGGTCCCGATTTCCCCTGCGTTTTGGGTGTCTCGGGCTACGGATCGAGTACCGCCCTGAATGCTTCTTTCCGGTTCGGAACGCTGATTCGCCTCCAAAGCTATTTGTGAATTGACATCCAATGGTATTTCGGCTCGAATTTCGGGTACTTCAATTCGAGCCTCGGTGCCATCGTTAATTGGCCTTCCGGCCCCGGGTGCCAAGTTGTTGGTTTCATCTTGAAGGCCGGTTTCGTGGTCGATAAGTAAAGCCATTGTTGATTTGAAGTTGTAAGCTAGCGTGCACTTTAGATTTGTATCAAACGATCACTGTTACGCTTAGCACCACGGTAGGCGCCAAACTGTTTACCGGAAAAATCGGATAACATTAGATTTTGTGTGTGGTTCTAAGGATATGCGACACAATTCGATATAAATCGTGTAGAGAAATAGAGATACGTATATTCTTGACTATAAGAATATGAATATTGAGCAAAAGAATGAATAAGGTAAAATAAAACAAGCATGCGGAGCTATATTCAATATGAGAAGTGATCTTTGGTTACAATGCATTCTGCCCATTAGCTTACAAGGATTCCTCCTTTTATAAAAGAGGGATATTACAAAAAATAATAAAATAAAACATATAGTGGAAGGCCCATGATGACTTGTCTCTTCCTTGATTCCCGCCAAGATTCTCTCTCTTGGTGCGGTCGCAACGGCTCTTGTCTGTGAGCTCGATACTGGCTCGAGTTCGTTACTGGGTTGGGCCCTTCGGTCTTGGCTCGAGTCCGACCTTCGAGATGGGCGTCGTGCATTTCCGACCTCGAAGTAGTGCCTTGCGGATCGATTGGGCCACAGGCTCGATAGGGTTATCGAGCCGACTCCTCGATTGACCTTGGGGCTCGAGGCTCGTTAGTACCGACTTCGGAGCTCACTCCCAAAAATCTAATTCCGACATTTTAACACTCGAACTCGATCGAACGTAGGAAGGCCGAAATCTATTTCGACCGAATACACATCTTATTCCTCTTGGATGACTTAGGCAGATGCCTGGGTGTTATATTCGCGTTGCTATAGCCACATTTGAATAATTCTGAGCAATAGATTCTTCACCCGATCCGAACCTTCCTGCATTAAACTCTGTTATGCAATTCCTTTAGGTGATAGTTTCCCATGATTTATCACATTATTTGAGGAAAAGTTGTATCTTTTCTTGTCTGTTTTTTCACAGCTAACGTAGCAAGAGTATCAGCCTGTGTGGCTAAGTTATCTGAAAATATAGAGCTAGCTGCAACAGCAACTACAACAGCATTTTGTGCAAAGTCCTGAGCAATGGAATAATTAGATATACTTGAGATATATCTGGTTTGGAGCAGAATCTGGTTTGGTTGGTCATTTGGTGGAGAAAAATATAGGAGGACCTGTTGATGATGGGAAAGGAGGAGGACTAAAAATTGCTTAGGGCCGAGGTGAACGAGTGCCTTGCTGAGGGGGTGGAATAGTGACAGAGTATACCAATGATGATTCAGGTTGCTTCTCCATAAAACTTGCATCAAACAAACCTTTCCGCAGACAAGGTAAAAATCAAGCCAACAATCTAGAGGATTGAAATAAGCCAAGCACTGCGCAATCACGTCCAGGATCTCCTTCAAGACTCTTATGTGAAATAAAATATAAACAAATGTAGCAAGAATCAAAAAAACCAAAGCTAGTGGAGGAGCCCAGCAAAAGAAAAAAAAGGAAAATAAAATAATATATATAGGTATTTATGTAATGCAATATATGCAAGAATTCAGTTGATCATAGCGTGCACCTAAAGAATAGTTGACAAAATCGCCAAAGGAAATAGCAAAGATGACAATTTTACCACAAATTATCGCACCCAAGTTGGGATTTATCCGGATGAGGCCTTTGCTACGGGATGATAAATCTAGTCAAGAAAGAAAAAAAAAAACAGAATTATGGCACCGGTTGTGGGTAAATTACAGTTTTTTACTAGAGAAATTCACATACCTGATGACAAATTGACGCTGATATTTTGGTATGAAGAAATCAAAGATCGTCCTGAAATTGATAGTTTGTGCGTTCCCCAGAGACTTGGGAAAGTAACCGGCTACTAGTTCCCTGGGAAGAGTTGAACATGGAGCTTCAATCAGTGCGCGTGGGATGTTCTCATGTTCACCTCATAGGTTATTCATTTCAAATGTCTACTAAGGCATCACCTTAAAGTTGCCACCTGCAGAAAAGAAGCCGCGATTAGAAAATACTAGTTGGAGAGAACTAACTATGGGATGATTCAACCTTTCAGGAAAGTTGATATTCTTAATGCTAACATGTATTAAGAATAAACACTGGAGGCCTTGAAGATTCAGTCTGCAGAAGCTATTAAAAGCACCATGTATAGTGAAGGATGTGATAGCCCAGTGGCTCTTGCACAACTACCAGTAGCGGTAGCACTCAAATTAAACATCTTTTTCTTAGTGGAAATTCTTGTTTGAGTGCACACTGCATCCTTATATTTCACTACGTTGTCTAAAGTTTGAGATGTGATATCCTCCATTGATATTTTAATAGGCACAAGAGGATTTATAATAACGATTACTGTTGCAAATGAGGCCTAACGTTGAACAGCAGCACCTATTAAAACTCTTCGAACGTGCAGCCACTAAAGATCCCATTTCTTGTTGCATTAGAATTTCATGATTATCTGAACAGTTTTCACATGTTAGTGATGGTATTTCTTGAAAGATTTACAAAACTTGAAAAAACTGAGATATAGGATAACCTTCCTTGAGGTTGCCAACACTTTTGTTTCTTGCCCATCATAGCAGAGAGTCAGCAATCCCATGTATGTTTCTTGATTTGCAATCTTTAGCGTCGATCTAAAGCTGATGTACTGGCAAAGGGAATTGTATCTCGTATTCCTTACATGCGCTCTGCAAAGAAAATTACACTGGTCAAAGTCCATCACATAAAATGAAATAAAGGAGGTAATAAATTTGTCTATACTCGCATTTTTCCAAGGGCAAGAGCGCTCAATACTTACTCCTGACCTGAACCTTGTCTTCTCCCATCATATCTTCAACATATTTCTTAATCTCCAAAGCAGAATCTTCCAGTAGAGGGCTCCATGGGAGTTCGATAACTTTTAATGAACTAATATCCCCGAAACTAGGCGGAATCTCCTCAAGCTTACAACATTCGCACAGTCGTAATTTCTCAAGCACGGGAAAGGATTCCTCTCCAACTTCCCACTTAGCAAGAATCACTCGCTGCAACGTCAAACATTTGAGATTCTCGAAGCTGTCTTCATCCCCCATGTTCCATTCTTCTCCATCGATGATTACGCTAATAAGGTTCAGCTCTTCAAGGTTGGGCAGTCTTGCTATTGTTGACAGTGAATCGGATGTCAGAGGAAACTGACGCAACGACAATTTTTTCAAACTCGAAGGGAAGTGAAAATTCCACAGTCGATTTTCAAACTCGAAGGGTGCGATATCACTTGAGTTTGAACTTTGAAAAGTTACTGCGATGATTTCTAGTTCATTTAGGAAGTCCAATTTCGGGAACCAATATCGCCCTGTTGAACAATCCCATGATTCCTTGAGATCAAATCGAAGCTCTTGAAGATTGGGAAACCTTTTGAAAATATCCTCCGTGTCTTTCGAATAGGAAAGCTCGAGTAGCTCTAATATTGTCAAGTTCTCTAGCTTTGGGTCCTCTACTGTCAATATTGGTTCATTTGTATCCAAATTAATGAAGGAACCGGCATATACGTTCAGCACTCGTAATTTTGAAAGATTCCAAATAGTCGGTAGTAGTAGCATGGGTTGATTACCGTTATCCAGAGACAAAGTTTCAAGATTCCAGAGGTTTGAAAAAGACGAAGGCAGAGATTTAACTTCTGTCTGAATGTTTAAGAACCTCAAATGAACCAACATGCATATTTCATTCAGCAAAGAATCTTTCACCTTGATAAAGGAGCGATCCAGGATCAACACTTTAAGAAGCCTCAAGTGTCTTAGGTGACATATATCATAAAGACGGTTGTCCAGCTTGTGTCCATTTATCTTCAAAGAATAGAGGTGCTTACCAGAATGCCTTTTCTTTTTTGAATCGAACAAGACAAAATTGTTGTGCCCAAAGTGCTCCTTATCGAAATCAATTCTCATTTGACGTGGCATCAGATCTGAAGAAGATGATGATGGAGCACTTGAACTTATCTCGTCAAACAACTTTTCCTCTCTTGCTTTTATCAAACAAAAGTCATGCACAAGATCATGAATTTGGCAAGTCGGGTGTTTACCTATCTCATTGAAAGAAATAACCAAGCTACTGGAAATTAAATTATCCAAATAAACATCCATCACTTCTTCTACACTCTTCATATCTGTCTGTTCCACAAATCCTTCGGCACGCCATACAATTTTCAAAACATCAATTCCAATTGATTCGTCCTTTGGATAACTTGCAAGGTAAAGTAAGCATGGCTTTAGATAATCAGGCAAATAGTCATAACTTAATTCTATAACCCTCATCACTTCCACTTTCTTGTTAAAAATGAAGGACTTCAAATTATTTTGAACTTCATGCCACACACTCTTTTTCTTTTCCTTCCCTGCAATGACTCCAGCAATCAAATCAACCACCAAAGGAAGCCCTTTACAGTTTTGGACTATTTCTTCTCCAACATCCACTAGTTCATCAGGGCAACTTTCTTTTCCAAAGACCTTTTTCTCTAATAACTCCCAACTTTCTTCCAATCTTAGCAATCGAAGGTCAAGAGGATCACTGTGGCGTTGTGCATGCAAAGCCACTTCCTTTTCTCGAGTCGTCAAAATAATTCTACTTCCTTTATCATCTTGAGGAAAAGGTCTTGTTAAATCATCCCATGTTGTAGTATCCCACAAGTCATCTAAGACAATAAGGTACCTCTTCCCAAATAGCTTTTTCCGTAGCTCATCAGCAACATCAACACTCTCACTGAATTTCGAAGTTGAGCTAGTAACTTCATTAAAAATGTTCTCCAACAACTTCTTCTCATCATATTTTTGATCGACTGTACACCATGCACGGATGTCGAAATGACTAGAAACCGACTTATCATTATACACTTTGTATGCCAAAGTAGTTTTACCCGAACCCGGCATACCAGTGATCGAAATGACATCTAGCATTTTTGATCCACCGGTGAGATTCCTAATTATCCAATTTGTCTCCTCTTCAAAACCTACGATTATTTGCTCAGCTAATGATGACTTGATTTCAACTGACTTGTTGGGAGACTTTTCAACAATGAGGCTCCTGTTTTTGGGAATCTTCTCAAGTAAGATCTCTTCTTTGATAAACTTGATTTTTTCTATGGCAAAGGGAAGTGAGAAAATAAAATGTAAGAGACCATTGTCTCTTACAATAATTGAATCAATGACATCTTTTACCTCATATGCTAGATCTAAAACACGTGCCCAAAGATCTCTATACAATTCTTGTTCAACACTCATGAAGATAGATCTTATCAATTCTAGATCTTCTTTCACCAGCGCAATTTCTTTCTTTATCAAAGCAACTGAATAAGCATTGGAATTAAGCAAATCATTTAAGTGTATGAGTAGAAGATGCATGCAGAGGGATCCCTTACTCACGGGGAAGCAGAGTTGAGATGAGTCTGGGGCTTTTAAGTAAACATGTTTGAGATCTCTTTTTAGGAGTTCAATATTTTCCATTAAGTCCAAAGTCTCATGTTTTTTTCCACCGGTACTCACTTCATTTCTGGATTTCTCTTCTAAGACGCGAACAAGAGTTGATACCTCCCTTCCGACACACGCCAAAAAATCAAACAATATGTCATGATGAATAAAGTTCGTGGTAGCATCAGTAAGAATAATTAATAGGAACTCGATCATGACATGAATGTTTTGAGCCCCTGAAGTGCTAGCGGTAATAAACATGTGCTCTTGTAGATGAATCAGATATTCCCTAAAAATGTCCGGAGAGGTTTCTATGAGCTGCTTAATGAAGCGTCCAACTTCTGCTGATGTTGAAGCTTTCAAATTTGTATGACATACGTGCATAACCTCAAGTTCAATAGGAATAATCTCCAAGAGTAGATGTGATAGCTTGAAGAGTCGAGAGGCTCCATCAATCTGATCATCCCAATGGAAGCGTCCTACTCTCTGAGCCATTAGTTGAAACTGAGGTAGGACATGTTCAACAATCTCATGCCCAACACAACCATTCACTATCAACCCATGGAAATCTCTTATATTGCCACATACATTCTGAAGAATCTCATATTCAGTCACTAAAGGAAAAACCTGTTCAGCACGATACTTGGATAAATGATAGAGATTCTGGAGGAGGAAATCCAACTGCTCCGCAGTCATGGTGGCACTTGATTTATCAAGAAGACATGAGCTAATACAATTATCCATATTCTCCACAAGGCAAGGAAGGACATGGTGCATGTCTTGTTTCAACCGCATGCAGTTGCCAAAATCATACAAAATTATTTCAACCTCTTGTCTTTTGAGATTCATTGTATAATTAAACTTTTGCAGACCGGAATAAGAAAGCTGTACATATATACAGAAAAATGCCAGCTCCAATTTCAGCTTTTCAATTAGATCCACGTCAACAGCTTTTTGATATTCTTCATTCTTTAAGCTCTCTATGAAATCCAGAACATTGACAATGTCCTTGCGAAGAGCAGAAAATGACACCTGCCAAAGGACCAAAAGTTATATCAAATTCTCAAAAGAAAGACAGTTAATTCTCTATATATTATGTTCTCAGAGTTTGAGCAACTGGTTGTGTATCCAAAATAAGCATGTCAAGAAAGATGGTTTACTATGCATATGTTCAACTGAATTAAAATAATATGTTCAGCTGGTGTCTATTTTCCCCCTTCAATATACTAGACTATGCACTAAAAGGGGGATGGACTAATTAGTGAAGATTTTTTTCTAACCATTTTTCTGAAGAAGAGATGAATAGATGTAACTATCAAACATACAAAAACAACCTCTTGAAATTATAACCAACCAGGATTGATAAGCTTTATAATGTCTAATTATTTTTTATTTTATTCTTAAAACTATAAGCCTATAATTCGATCAATAAGTTCCTATTCTTTGCCATAAAATAGTGAATGGACATGTCTCTAACAACAAAAACACGTCCAACTTGGTATTTATACCAAATCATGCTAACTTATCATGGTTAAACAGTTTAATAACATGAGAATATATATTAAGTGAAGGAAACCTTATGTGCAGATACATGTCATGCATATATTAATTTAATGTGTAAAATCACAATTAACTGGAAAGAAATAAAATTAAACAAATAACAAAACGAAATTAATTTGATTCATGATATTAAGAGAAAAAGAAGTATGTACGTCACGGCTTTCAATTTCTTCAACCATAAGTTTCTGCAAATAAACACCAATAGCTTCAAGGAGCACTCCAGAACACCCGTGAAATCCCACAATAGCTACACCTTTCAACACAAATGAAAATGGGGTTCCACCAGCCTCAGACCCAAATGGTCCATAATTCTTGGAATTAGTTATAAAACATAGAATCTTTATAACCGAATGGCTACCATAACATCCAAATGTCCCCTTGATGCCTGTTAAATATTCCAATGAAGTCGCCTCAATGACAACCTGGCATTATTACAAATCACATATCGGTTAAATAAGTAGCATCGTCAGAAATTCAGACAAGAATTCAGAGAAAAGTGCAAGAATGTCACATTGGGTTTGAAATCAACAGGTGCACTCATATCTTTGACTTGAAAGATGCTTATATAACTATAAAGTTTATGTTGTGTACGCAGAAAATGATGCAAAAAGTTGTTATACTGCCATGTTAAGTTGACCTATAACATGTGATTTTTCATATCAAGAGCCTAATAAGGTAACTTGAAGGTTATAAAATAAATGAATAATCTGCTATGACTAGTTTAATTGTCTTGATAATTAACTGTTATTTTTACATAATTTAAGCTCATTGCTATGACATGACACAAATTTAACTTGAGAAGAACGTTCTAATCATGAAAAATAAATATGTCGACCATAATCTTTTTGGACTTACCTTGTCTATTCGACCTCCATTCCCACCAAACTTTGGTGAGTCTATGGTAGTACCTTGTTCAGTAATGGTTCTGAAAATGATGGAGTCTATAAAATCTCCATGACCAATCAATATTTCTTTAATGGGACTTTTCAGCTTGTAATTCCATTCTGATCCACCAATATTGCCTCGCCATGGCTCCACCAATATTGAGTCTGCTTGATCGTAACTCACTTGATTTCCCTTCACATACATAAGGAATTAAATCAATGGCTCCATTATCAAATTTTATCCCTATATTGGTAGTATTATTTTGCATTAAACCAAAAAAAAAAACAGAATGAATATAGACACAATCATGTAAAAGAAGAGATGGCAAGGTACCATTGTTGGCGATTTGCTTTCATTTTTTGTTATTTTCCCTTTCTTATGATCACCCGATCCTGATCCCTATATAATGTGTCAGAAAGTAACATAAGTTAATTGTTTAATGAAAGGGATTTGGACCTGCGTGCAAGTGTGTGGTGAGGAAAATTAAGGAAGTAGAGGTCATTAAGCAAACAAGCGAATAATCACAACATACATCATGGGTTTCAATTATTTCTTCAACCATAGGTTCATTTGGCTCAATTGTTTTATCTTCAGGTTCCTTTGCTGAAGCAGGGGGAGTAAGTTTCTGCAAATAAATACCAATAGCATCAAGGTACGCTCCACAACGCCCGTGAAATCCCTCAATAGCTCCAACTTCTTTCATCACAAATGAAAATGGGGTTCCACCAGCCTCAGACCCAAATGGTCCATAATTCTTTGCATTAGTTATAAAACATAGAGAGTTTATAACCAAATGGCTACCATAACGTCTAAATGTCCCCTTGATGCCTGTTAAATATTCCAATGGAGGCGCCTTAATGACAACCTGAGATTATTGCAAATCACATATCGGTGAAATAAGTAGTAGAGTCAGGAATTCTGACAAAAATTTAGAGAAAAGTGCAAGAATGTCACATTAGGATTCGAAATCAATAGGTGCATTCTTATCCTTAACTTGAAAGGTGCTTACAACAACAACTCAGAATAATCCTACAAAGTGGAGTCTGGGCAGGGTAGTGTATACGCAAACACTATTTTCGAAAGACCCCTGGCTAACTTGAAAGATGCTTATATAACTATGAAGCTTTGTTGTATACACTGAAAATGATGCAAAAAGTTGCTATACTGTCATGTTAAGTTGACCTATAACATGTGATTTTTCATATCAAGAGCCTAATAAGGTAACTTGAAGGTTGTAAAATAAATGAATAATCTGCTATAACTAGTTTAATTGTCTTGATAATTAACTGTTATTTTTACACAATTTAAGCTCATTGCTATGACATGACACAAATTTAACTTGAGAAGAATGTTCTAATCATGAGAAATAAATATGTCAACCACAATTTTTCTGGACTTACCTTGTCTCTTCTACCTCCATTCCTGCCAAACATTGGTGAGTCTATGGTAGTACCTTGTTCAGTAATGGTTCTTAACAGGATGGAGTCTATAACATCTCCATGAGCAATCAATATTTCTTTAATGTGACTTTTCAGCTTGTAATTCCATTCTGATCCACCAGTATTGCCCTCCATGCCTCCACCAATATTGAGTTTGCTTGATCAAAACTCACTTGATTTCCCTTCACATATATAGCAAATTAAATCAATGGCTCCATTATCAATTTTTTATCCCTATATTGGTAGCATTATTTTGCAGTCAAAAGGAAATAGAATGAATATAGATACAATATCATGTAAAGGAAGAAAAGGCAAGGTACCATTGTTGGCGATTTGCTTTGATTTTTTGTTATTTTCCCTTTCTCTTAATATTTCTTATGATCACCTGATTTTGATCATCCCTTTTTTAAAGTTATTATTCTGTTTAAGGTGCTAGAAGAGTCAATTAAGTCATTAGTTTTATGAAAGGGATATGTGCTTGTGTGTAAGTATGAGGTGAAGAAAATTCAAGAAGTAGATGTGCTTAAGCAAACGAGGGAATAATCACAACATAGGTCATGGATTTCAATTTCTTCAACCATAGGTTCATTTGGCTCAATGTTTTTAGCTTCAAGTTCCTTTGATAAAGTGGGAGGAGCAAGTTTCTGCAAATAAACACCAATAGCATCAAGGTACGCTCCACAACGCCCGTGAAATCCCACAATAGCTCAACCTTCTTTCATCACAAGTGAAAATGGGGTTCCAATCTCAGACCCAAATGGTCCATAATTCCTTGCATTAGTTACAAAACATAGAGATTTTATAACCAAATAGCTACCACAACGTCCAAATGTCTCCTTGATGCCTGTTAAATATTCCAATGAAGTTGCCTCAATAACAACCTGAGATTATTGCAATTGGTTAAATAAGTAGCAGAGTCGGTAATTTTGACAAGAATTCAGTAAAGTACAAGAATATCACATTAGGATCCAAAATCTGTGACCCAAAGCAAATTTGGACACTTCGCCTCTTCCTTTGCATTGAGAGGATTCAACTAACTTAGATATATAAGAAAATTATATTTACCCTCTCTACATAACTTTTAGATGACGGGGATTCAATTAAACCAGTAGCTCTGCCGGCCTTGTGTTAAACCCAAGTGAGGATCTATAGTGAAAGCAACCAGTGTGTTCTTATCTTTGACTTGAAAGATGCTTATGTAACTATAGAGTTTATGTTGTGTACACTGAAAATGCAAAACAATGCTAAACTATCATGTTAAGCTGACATATAACATGTCATTTTTCATATCTTAATAATTAAATTTTTATTACAAAATTTAAGCTCATTCCAATGATATGACACAAGTTAACTTGAGAAGAACGTGCCAATCATGAGAAATAAATATGTTGACCACAATTGTTTTGGACCTACCTTGTCTCTTCGACCTCTATCCCCACCAAACTTTGGTGAGTCTATGGTAGTACCTTGTTCAGTAACGGTCCTGAACATGATGGATTCTATACAATCTCCATGAGTAATCAATATTTCTTTAATGGGACTTTTCACCTTGTAATACCATTTTGATCCACCAGTGCCTCCCCATGGCTCTACCAATATTGAGTCCGCTTGATCATAGCTCACTTGATTTCCCTTCACCTATATAATAAATCAATGTCTCCATTATCAAATTTTATCCCAATATTGGTAGTATTATTTTGCAGTACAATCATATAAAAAAAGAGAAGGCAAGTTACTATTGTTGGCGATTTGCTTTGATCTTTTTTCAATCACTTTCTCTTAATATTTCTTATGATCATTCTATTCAAGTTATTCATTCTATATAAGGAGTTAGAAGAGTAACATAAGTCATCAGTTTTACGAAAGGGATATGTGCTTGTGTCTAAGTATGAGGTGAAGTAAAGGAAGTAGAGGTGATTAAGCAACGGAGGAAATAATCACAACATATGTGAGAACTAGTTAATTAATTTATCCGCTTTCGCACTGTCACAGAAAATTACTAGTGAGTTATTAAGTGATCATTTTATAAATTAGTCCATAAATAAAAAGGAGAAATATGACAAATACTTAAACTAATTTTTACATATGTCTAACTTTTAAATTTTTAAGTCTATTTCATATTCCTCCTTTTTGTTTCCTTTTTAATTCCAAAATATAATGGAAAAAATAAAAAAGGACAATTATTATTGTCATTGTTCTTGTACGAACTTGAAAAAGAATTGGAGGTGTTGAGCAAATACGAAGGTTGTTGAAGTTTTGAAGTTGAGATTCAAGTGCTAAACTCATTCTAGATCCTTAGTTGCTGATGAGATTCGAAAATGGAGAAAGAATTTCGAATATACCATTGTTGAAACTTAAAAAATCTTGAAGAACAAAAAACGAGCTAGTTGAAGTTCTTGGTTGTTGGTCAAATTGATTGCTGGGATTTGGTGATGATGTTGTTGTGAAATTGTAGTTGAAATTAAGCTTGATTGGTGCCGATTTAGTTGAGTTTTTGTTGAATTTTGAGACCCAAAATTAAATTTGAAGTTCTTGAAAATGTGTGAACAAATGTTCATGAAATCAAGTGTGTTTAGGAAGAACGGCTCATGAAAATCAGTCCTGAGACTGATACATGGCAATTTCGTATAGGTTACAGTCTTTTTCTTTAAGTTGCTATGCGCTTGAAGGAGGTGTTTTCATGTTTGGGTTCAAGTCAGCACATAAGATGCAAAATATTTTGAAAAAAATAAATTTAGAGGGGGTAATAAGACCCTCAGAAAAGAAAAAAATGTATTGTTGAAACTTCGGTTATAGGTTGGGAAGGTACTCGTACCTTTTCCCAACCAAAAAAAAAAGATGATAAAGCATTAAAAAAAAAAAGTACCTGATAAATTAGTATAACCATTAAACCCAAAGAGAAAAATGAAGGGAAGAAAGCAACCAAAGGAGGAAAAAGAAAGATGCTATTATGAGTATCAAAGATTACGATTAATACTGAGAAAAGTTTGTTTTATTCTTCCAATTATGTTGTAACTTAATCTTTTTATCGAAAGATTGATAGAACCTATTATTAATTGATTGATATAATTATTTTATTTGATTGATCTTGGCTTATTGCTAATTGTTGTTTTTTTCAAGTGGAATTGCCATGTTAAACAGAAGAAGGAATTTAAGTGTGAAAGTTAGTTAAACTACTTGTGATCAGGATTAATTAAGAGAATATTGATTAATTTGATTATTTGATCGAGTTTATGCAATTATCAACCGCTATATTCATGAGAGCAAATTAATAAATTAAGAATCCGAAGTAATTGGAACTAGGGGTGTACAAAGAAAATCGATAAATCCCACCAAATCGATAATTTGAATCAAACTGGAAAAACAATTCGACTGTGATTTGGTTTGTATTAAAAAAATAATCCAACCATAATTGATTTGGTTTGGTAACTTAAAAATTCAAACCAAAATCAAACTAACCCGAGATTACATATGTATATTTTAAAAATATTGTATTCATAAAAATATTTATTATAATATAATTTATAAATATTTAATAAACTTTTTAATAATTTATGTATTTTAATATAATTGTTCAAGTCTGAGCTTATAATTGGCGAATAGTCCATATAAGTGTTGGTTGGGCCCAAACAAAACTGAATAAAAATAAGAAATTTTTACATTCTTATACACTATTTGAAACTTTATTACTCTCCCTACTCAAATTCAATTTAATTACATCCTATATACAAATTTACCAATTATATACACTTTAGGAATTAAATGAGTATCCCTTTATATTAGGAATCAATTATTTTACATCCTTATTCTCTCTCCCTCCTGCGCTTTCTCTCTCTCCGTCTCTTTCTCTCTCTCTCATGCGCGCTCTCTCTCTCTCTACGTCTCTCTCTATCTCTCAATCCCTAATTCCAGTAATATAGAGAAAAGGAAAAGAGAGCAGCAATTCCACCATTGACAACCATTAAAAAGCTTTGAAGCTCTGAATTCGAATTTGGATTTTCAAAAATCATTATTTGTTTGGGTTGGGTGTTGTTGCAAATAATTGAGAATATTGTTTGGAGTTTATATCTCAATTTTGAGGGTGTTTTGGTGAAGATTAGACTTGATTTTGGCTAAATTTCAGATTGAATCTCGAAGAAGAAGAAGAAGAAGAAGAAGAAGAAGAAGAAGACATGACATATATTATACTTACGAAATTGTAGTAAAATTATAGAAAAATTGTATTATGTTGTTTATATATATATTTTTATTTAAATATTGTATGAAAGTTGAACAATATTGTATAAAAATTGTATTTAAGTTGTATGATATTGTAATTGTATATAACTGGGTAGAAATAATGTATGAAAGTTGTAGATAAGTTGTATAATATATAATTAGTTGTATGAAATTTATGTTTACTAAGTATAAATCATATACAAAAGACATATTGTATAAAATTTGTATAAAAATTATATTTAAGTGGTATGATATTGTAGTTGTATATAACTGAGTAGAAATAATATATGAAAGTTGTAGATAAGTTGTATAATATATAATTAGTTGTATGAAATTTATGTTTACTAAGTATAAATCATATACAAAAGACATATTGTATAAAATTTGTATAAAAATTATATTTAAGTGGTATGATATTGTAGTTGTATATAACTGAGTAGAAATAATATATGAAAGTTGTAGATAAGTTGTATCAAGCTACGTCCTCCTTTTCTTTTTTTACTATTAATGTTAAAATTTGCTTCATTCTATCCCAGTGGTCTCCGCCGTGAGCTATTTTGATATTCTTTTTTTTATCTCTTTTCTAATGTCTCTTCTAGTCTCTATAATTTTAACGTGGTGAAAAAGGCAAATTATTTTTTTTTCTCTCCATTTTTGTCGAATAAGAAAAGGACAGCATAGTCTATCAACTGAAAAAATAATACCGAAAATTTAGAAGGATGTTAGTCGTAGAAACTTAGCCACCAGTGGCGGACACAATTGAATTCGAATTTTTGACTCAAGCTATATACATCAGTTGAGATCTGAAGGATTAGATTATCTAAATCCCTAAATATAAGTTCAATCCGGAAAGAAGAGGGGAGAGAGGAGAGGAAAAAGAAAAATGGTGTAACTAAATCCCTTGATTGAAGGCACAAATAATGGACTGAGAGCCTTTTAAGGTGGATTGTATTTATTTTGTAACTAAAATGTGTTTAGGTCGGGTAAATACCAAAACATGAATATTGTTCGTAATAAGGTTTCAAATAATGTATAGGAATGAAAAAATCCCTAAAAACAATCTAACAAAATTGTGAAAATAGCACGGGCTAGCCAGTTTTCGGACTGGTAATTGAAAATAGCCAGCGTTTGCAAAGTCATTGAAAAATAGCCACTATTTTGCTGCAACACGGAAAGTTCCAGCATAATATACTGGAGATTGGTGCACCTGTGTATGAGCTTCCAGCATATTATGATGGAACTCCCGCACACGGAAAGTTCCACCATAATATATTGGAGATTTGAGCACCTGTGTATGAACTTCCAGCATATTATGCTGGACCAGTATATTATGCTGGAACTCTAGTATATTATGCCGGAAGTTCACATGTAAAAAATTCGAACTTCAGTATATTATGCTGGAATATTTTTCGGATTTTGAATAGTGTTTTCGTTCAGATTAATCTTTATATGAAAAGTGACTAAATTTAGGAACCGTAAAACAAGAAGTTTTACCTTTCACCAATATATAGGAACTATAATCAATTATTTAGTTATTTAATTTTATCGATGCTTCAATTAGTTCTTTAACTTAATCGTTTTATTTTGGTTTAGACCGTTAGGTGAAAACTTTATTAGAAATAGTTATTAGACAGTTGACTCAAACCAACACTACTAGCACAAATTAATTATGGCATACCTCAAAGTTTGCTAATTCCCCTTTCTCTCTTTCTCCGTCAATTTGTTTTCCTCTTTCCATGATCTGATGTATAAACTTTATCAGGAGAAAGAAGTAAGAATACAAAGAAACTGAAGAAAGAAGCATAAAAAGTCATAGCAGAAAACATTTTTGCAGATATAGCCATGCATAAAAAGTAGTAATTATTTTTTGAAGAATATTTTCCCATCCGAGTACCAAAATTAAACAAACTTTTCTTAAGTTATTAGAGATAAACTGACTAACCTTTTTAGTTGATGTTGAAGATGAAATATCTGAGAAATGGCTTTAGAATGAGGCAACAGAAAGTATGGAATGGTTGCTACTTTCTGTTTTTGTGTATGTATGAATTCTCCCCTTTTTCAACAAACCGACAGTTTGAGATATGAAGTTGAAAATTCGTGTGGAGGAGAAGAGATAAGGGTTTAAGGGCACCAAATTAAATCATGAGGTTAGGGAGAAAAATGACAAAATATGGTTGGGCATTAGATTTGAAATAAGTCTTAAATATATTTCCGAGTAGCTTCTTTAAGTTATGTAAAAGTGAGCAATTATATATTTGATAAATTGTGATGGTTAGATTTAAACAGAATTGTGAAATAAAAGAGATAAAGGGAACTCACATTTGAAGGTGCAGGTTATATAGTTTCTGCTATTTTTGTGGGTGGTCATATTTGGCTAAAAATCCATATTTTTGCATGTAATTTGTCTTGCATTATGGCTCGATCTTGTTAATTTTGGTGTGAATATTTATGACTCGAGCTTAATAATGGTATTTATATGTGTAGGAGTCAATTTGAAGTGATTTGAAAAGTTTGCATGCAAATTGAAGTAAAAAGGGAAGAATTTGAAGGAAGTACAAGTTTGGTGCCAACGTTCGCGCCAGGCATCAACCAAAACGCCGTTGACAGCAGGCTAAAAAGTTCATTGTCCAGCTCCGCACCAGGCGCAAAGCTGACGCCCAGGGGCAGATTTCGTCCTAATTCAGATGGGACTTGGTGATTTCAACCCTACACATCCCCAACATTTATAAAAGAGGTTTTAAACCTATTTTGGGAGGGGGGGATCGAACATACTTTGGACCAAGGGAGAGCATGGAGCCGCCGTGGAGGCCGGAATTCATCAGATTCCATCTTTTTTCAATCAAACTTAGCAATCTTTACGTTTTTTTGTGGATAATTTGTTGTTTTGCTATCATGTCTATGTGGAGCTAAACTTCATTTCTAGGATTGTGGTTGACATGAATATTGAAGTTTATTAATCACAACATCTTTAATTTGAGTTATCATCTTTGATTGTTTCTCTAATTATATGCATAATTTCTTAATTTTTTGGACAACAGTTGAGTTCTATTTACTTATATATGTTATGCTTGGGAAAGTCGTGTTTAGATTAGAGTAGAATTAGAGAGAGCTTGTTTCTGAACCCGTGGCTCGGGGAAAGATTTCTCGGTTAGGATAGGAATATACCTAATAGTCTTGCTTAGTTGAATGTCGTATTTTCTTCGTTCATGATAGATTCAATACCATAGGAATATACGATTGATATATTGTGGATAGACATATACTAATATGGGAACATGCTATTTATAAAAACGATCCGGTCAACTAGCAATCATGGATAATTCGGATTAACAGGTGCAATTACGAACTCAATAGGATTGATAAACTGACCGCAACTCTGTAATCTATATCTCCCTTGGTTACATGTTTAAATTTTGCAATAGTAGTTGTAACAGAAAACCACACTTTTGATTACCTTGAGCAGTAAATCTATTTTAGTTAGCTTAGTTAATAATTAATCTAAGTCTTTGTTAGTTAGACATCCGACTTTCTAGTCACTTTATTACTTGACGGCCACGTATATTTGCGTGTACTTGGGGAACCAACAAGTTTTTGGCGCCATTGTCGGGGACTTAGTTATTGATTATTTATCTAAGTAAAGCTTTTAATTGATTTCTGTTCAAGTTTTTAATTTTCTTAGTTAGTATTATATTTATTTTTTTACATGGCATCTTGGAATAAAAATTATTTGAATGTTGATTATTCTTACTTTGATGATCCTTGTCCATATTGTGGAGGACCCAACTGGTGAAAAAATTGTCAAAATATTTCTGGGAGCTCAGTGCACCATCTCAATCTTATGAGTAGAATATTTGTAATATGTGTGGTGGTCAAAGTGGCCATTGGGATGGCTGCCCTGATTCTTTTTATCCTTCTCCGAACCTTTATTATGATGTTTTTAATAATTTTTATAAGTTTGATAGGAACAAAGGGGAGAATGTGGAATATGATGCTCAGACTATGGACATGTTGAGGCAATTAGTGGAACAAACTGTTGAACACCGAAAAGACTTTGAAAATCTCAACGTGAGGAAATTACAGGTGAGACGAGACACTTAATAGAAGGAAGAGTTGAACTGGGACAAGAGATCGAAAAATTTGGCACTGCTATTAACGACTTGGGAGCTCAATTGAATGCAAAGGTTGATGCATCTAATGCCCAACAAAATAGTTCTAAGTTGTGTGAAGCTGAAAAGGAGCTTATACGCCAAATTGAGGAGCTAAAAGTGGAGAGTCAAACATTCGACCATACTTTATTGATGATGCCCATGTTGAAAAAAGTACACTAGAGCCATGTGAGGAAGTGGATAATATTGAACTTAAAGACTCTAGTATGTGTACATATGAGGATGTAAGTAGTGACGCAATTCTAGAGTTGGAGCATATTGGTCCTCATTCCATTTATTTTTCGACATTGTGCTTGGATGATGACATGGAAATCGAGTCATTTGATCCTATGGAGGAGCCAATGGACGAGGAACAAGGTGCTTACAATCTTGAATTCGTCGTGCCAGAGAGACAAAATTACATATCTCATCTGAAGTCTAAGAAGTATAGAATGCGAAATTGGTTACTTGGCCCAATTAGATTTGTACCTCCACCCCGGGAGTATAGCAGAAAGCTTGAAGCCAAATTGGAGTCTCAATTCATAAGTTCGAGATGGAGATAAAAAGTGGTTCTAGGCGCTGCCACGACGTTAAATCAGGCGCTTGTTGCGAGACAACCTAGCTTTACTGCTTTCTTTTATTTTTATTTTTGGTCGTGTTTGTTTTTATTTTGTAGGATTACAAGTATGGAAAGGATAGCCATTGAAAGTGTGCAAAAGCGAGCTAGATGGTGAGAACTAAGTGCGGGGTGCCCGCACAAAGGACCATGCATGGGGGAAGTCTGAGTACCCCATGAGCCGCGATTGCTTCGGCCTTTGGTCTTTCAGGGAGTTTCTTGTCCACCCTTATTATTTTTTGGCTTTATTTGTGCATTGAGGACACTGCACTCTTTTAAGTGTGGAGTGGGGGACTCTCTTTGGATTATTATTAGTAGTATTTTAGTAAAAATATTACTCCCTCTATTCTAATTTGTGTGAACCTGTTTGACTAAGCACGAAGTTTAAGAAAAAATAAAGACTTTTGGAATTTGTGGTCCTAAACAAGTCAAAAAGTGGTCTAGGGTATTTGTGTAGTTATAAAAGCTTCTCATTAAGGGTAGAATTGGAAGTTTAAGCTAAATTGTTTCCAAATTTGGAAAGGGATCTTCTTTTTGGAACGGACCAAAACGGAAATAGGTTCACATAAACTGGAACAACTTTTTATTTTGATTTTAGCTTCTTATTTTTATTTTTGTAGTAGTGCAATATCTTAGTATTAGTTTTAGTAGCTTATTAAAAAAATCAAAAAATATATATGAACAACTGAAAATCGAAAAAAATTGAAAAATAATTTGAATTTTTCCCGACGATGGATCTCCTAGGCAGTTTTCTTGAGGGATTAAAAGTGTCTATGATGCCTTTATAGATTGGAGCATGTATGTTCACTTTGCACTTAATGCTTAATATCTTGTTGCTCCTCACTTGCATTGTTTGAGAGTCGGAATGAGACCATCCTTAGTGAATCATGTGCCATGTGTGTGATAAGATTTTTTGTGTAGTCCATGGATTGTAGTTGAGTATAGAACTTGCCCTTGAAGCGACATTTTAGGTAATGCTCGGTTTGAAAAATAATTTTATGCTTTCTTTGGTTCTTTTGAGCTTGAATGTTTATCACAAATAAAATCTATCCCTACCCACCCAAAAACCTAATAGTAGTATTTACTTAATTTCACGATACAGCATAAGACGAAGAGTTTGACATTCTTTATTTGTTACTAGTAATCGCTGTGAAGTCGCTCGGTCAAGGATGAAATTGATGGCATATGAGCTCCAAAAGCCTCTCCATAAGCGCTCAAGCAAAAAAGCGCGGAGAAGGATTGACATAGAGCTAATACAGTTTTCTTATGCAGAAGTCACCATTAGTATATGACGTTGTTGCAGCATCTCCATCAAATGGATGTCGAACCTCGGTCCTGCTACTGTCCTGTATATGTAGAGTTTGTCGACGGGACAACTTTCTGGTCTTGTATCTGGATGACTCCTCTCAACATTAACCCATGGCGACTTCTGAGCTAGCATCTTACATGCTCCATAACTTAGTGAACAAGAAAACATCCAAATATATTGCATTGTCTCAAAGACATGAATGTATGGTGGCAGTGGCGGAGGCAGGATTAATCCTAAGGAGGCTAGTGGGAATAAGGTTTTGAATCCCCTTGACCACTAAGCTATGCTTTTGGGATGTGTCAAGGGGATTCAAAACAGATTATGCCTTATATATACAATGTAATTTTTCGGGTTCGGGTGAACACCCTTCCACCCCCCCTAAATCCGCCCCTGGGCATGGCCTCCCAAAACCTGCTAAAGCCTTCGAGTTGGTAGCCGTCTTCAAAAGCATTACTCACATTTACATGAACTTCCGATGGATCAGCCTGTATGTCAGCAAGTTAGGCCCCAGTACCAAATTCAACCAGCAGGGAAGCGTGGAGAAGAATGTTTGGAAGTTTCGGAATAGTCCACAAAAGGGTGGATATGATCATTACAACATCAAGATCCAACATGATTAGTCCAGATAGCATTTCTCAGAACACTAAGCATATGCATCAGGGTTCTGAAAGTTGATATGCTTATGATACCAGCACCTCCAATACAGAAGTTGCCCACCTTTTGTTTCACTTACTTCTTGCTATCCTCCAAATCCACTTCCTAAAGCATTATCCGAGTGAATATTATCCCATCATTGCGTAGAGTTAGCAATCCCATGTATGTTTCTGGACTAGAGGAGTAACATATGATATGCAGACAATTCAAGCCAGGCCGAAGAAGAAAAAAGAGTATCCAAGAACAACAATTTGAAAAGAACTTAACTTTGGAATACATAACTAGAGTACCTTTCTGTTTATCATAAGCACACAAAATGAAAAAAAAAAGTGGGGAAATTAGATAAAAGTCCAATAGTAATAATTGATATCAATACAAATCCATCACTTATTCACCACTCAACAGAGTATATGAAAAGGAGGGAAATAGCAGGGAGACTGCATTAGCCTCTAAATATTAAAGCTGGATGTATTCCTTACATGTGTTCTGCAAAAGAAAATTACACTAGTCAAATTTCGCCATATAAAATGAAATAAAGGAGGTAAGAAATTCATCTGTACTCACATATTTTCCCTTGGCAAGACCACTCAAGACTCACTAGGGACCTGTAAATAACAGACCTGAAGCTTGTCTTCTCCCGTCATATCTTCAATATATTGCTTAATCTTCAGAGCAGATTCTTCAAGTTGAGGGCTCCTCCACAGTTCGATAATTTTTAATGAATAAATATCCCCGAAACTAGGCGGAATCTCCTCAAGCTTACGACAGTCCCACAATTGTAATTTCTCAAGCACAGGAAAGGATTCCTCTCTGACCTCCCACTTAGCAAGAGTCACTAGCTGCAATGTCAAACATTTGAGATTCTGGAAGGTGTCATCCTCCCCCATGTTCCATTCTCCCCCCTCGATGATTGCGTTTTCAAGGTTCAGCACTTCAAGGTTGGGCAGTCTTGCTATTGTTGATAGTGAATCGGATGTCAAAGGAAACTTACGCAAACACAATATTTTCAAACTCGAAGGGAAGTGAAAATCCCACAGCCGATTTGTCGCTACAGAGGGCGCACTATCATTTGTATTTGAACTTTCAGAAGTAACTATGACCTTTTCTAGTTCATTTAGGAAGTTCAATTTTGGGAACCAATATCTTTCTGTTGAACAATCCCATGATTCCTTGAGATTAAAACGAAGCTCTTGAAGATTGGGAAATCTTTTGAAGATATCCTCTGTGTCTTTCGAATAGGAAAGCTTGAGTCCCAGTACTAATCTCACGTTCTCTAACTTTGAGTCCTCTGCTATCAATATTGGTTCATCTGTATCCAAATTAAAGAAAGAACAATTATATATCACCAGCACTCGCAACTTTACAAGATTCCAAATTGTCGGTAGTAGTACCAACGGCGGTCCATCGTTATTCACCCACAGAGTTTCCAGATTCAAGAGATTTGAAAAAGACGAAGGGAGAGATTTAACTTCTGTCCGAATGTTTAGGTACCTCAAATGAACCAATGTACATATTTCATTCAGCAAAGAATCATTCACCTTGATAAAAGAGACGTACAGTATCAACACTCTAAGAAGCCTCAAGTGTCTTAGGTGACATATATCATAAAGACGGTTGTCCATCTCATGTCCATATATCTCCAAAGAATAGAGGTGTTTACCAGAATACCTTTTCTTTTTTGAATCGAACAAGACAAAATTGTTATGTCTAAAGTGCTCCTTATTATATATAATTGTCATGTGACGTGGCATCAAATCTGAAGAAGATGATGATGGAGCATTTGAACTTATGAAGTCAAACAACTTTTCCTCTCTTGCTTTTATGGAACAAAAGTCATGCACAAGATCATGAATTCGGCAAGTCTGGTACTTACCTATTTCATTGAAAGAAATAACCAAGCTACTGGAAATTAAATTATCCAAATAAACCTCCACCACTTCTTCAACACTCTTCATCTCTATCTGTCTCAAATATCCTTCGGCAGGCCATAAAAGTTTCAAATGATCGACTCGAATTTCTGCGTCCTTCGGATAACATGCAAGGTGAATCAAGCACGGCTTTAGGTGATCTGGTAAATGGTCATAACTTAATTCTATAACCTTCATCACTTCCACTTCATTCTGGAAAATAAAGGAATTCAAACTATTTAGAACTTCAAGCCAAACAGGCTTTTTCTTTTCCTTCCCAGCAATGATTCCAGCGATCAGATCAACCACCAAAGGAAGCCCTTTACAGTTTTGGACTATTCTTTTACCAACATCCAATAGTTCATCAGGGAAACTTTCTTTTCCAAAGACCCTTTTCTGTATTAACTCCAAACATTCTTCTGGTCTTAGCAACCGAAGGTCGAGAGGATTACTGCGGCGTTGTGCATGCAAAGCCACTTTCTTTTCTCGAGTCGTCAAAATAATTCTACTTCCTTTATCAACTTCAGGAAAAGGTCTTGTCAACTCATCCCATGTTGTATTATCCCACAAGTCATCTAAGACAATAAGGTACCTCTTCCCAAATAGTTGTTTCCGTAGCTCATCAGCAACATCAATATTATCACTGAATTTTAAAGCTGAGCTAGTAACTTGATTAAAAATGTTCTCTAACAACTTCTTCTCATCATATTTTTGATCGACTGTACACCATGCACGGATGTCAAAATGGTTAGAAACTGACTTATCATTATACACTTTGTACGCCAAAGTAGTTTTACCCGAACCCGGCATGCCAGTGATCAAAATGACATCTAGCATTTTTGGTCCACCAGTGAGATTCCTAATTATCCAGTCTGTCTCCTCTTCAAAACCTACGATTATTTGCTCAGCTGATGATGACGTGCTTTCAACTGGCTTGTTGGGAGAGTTTACAACAATGAGGCTCGTGTTCTTGGGAATTTTTTCAAGTAAATTGGAGACTTCTTTTTTGATAAGATTGATCTTTTCTATGGCAAAGGGAAGTGAGAAAATAAGATGTAAGAGACCATTATCTCGTACAATAATTGAATCAATGACATCTTTTGCCTCATATGCCAAATCTAAAACATGTGCCCAGAGATCTTTATACAAATTTTGTTCAATATTCACGAAGATAGATCTTATGAATTCTAGATCTTCTTTCACCCGTCCAATTTCTTCCTTTATCAAAACAATTGAATAAGAATTGGAATTGAGCAAATCATTTAAGTGTTTAAGGAGAAGATGCATGAAGAGGGATCCATCACTCATGGGGAAGCAGAGTTGAGACAAGTCTGGGGCTTTTAAGTAAATATGTTTGAGATCTCCTTTCACGAGTTCAATAGTTTCCATCAAGTCCAAGGTTGCATGGTTTTTTCCATTGGTACTCTCTTCATTTCTTGAATTCTCTTCTAAGTCGTGAACAAGAGTTGATACCTCCATGATAAGTTCTCCAACATGTGCCAAGAGATCAAATAATTTATCATGATGAATAAACTCCTTCGGCATATCAGTAAGAACGATTAATAGGAACTCTATCATGACATGCATGTCTCGAGTCCTTGAAGTGCTAGCAGTAATAACATTTACCATGTGGTCTTGTAGATGAATCAGATATCCTCTAAGAATGTCTGGAGAGGTTTCTAAGAGCTGCTGAATGAAGCGTCCAACTTCTGCTGACGTTGAAGCTTTCAAATTTGTAAAACATATGTGCATAACCTCCAACTGAGTTAGAATAATCTCCACGAATAGATGTGCTAGCTTGAAGAGTCGAGAGTGTCCACCAATTCGATTATGCCATAGGAAGAGTCCTACTCTCTCACCCATTAGTTGAAACTGAGGTAAGGCATATTCAACAATCTCATACCCAACGCAACCATTCACTATCAACTTGTGGAAATCTCTTATGTTGCCAGATACATTCTGAAGAATCTCATATTCAGTCATGAATAGAGAAAGTTGTTCAGCACGATACTTGGAAAGATGATGGAGATTCAGGAGGAGGAAGTCCAGCTCCAATTTCAGCTTTTCAGTTAGATCCACGTCAACAGCTTTTTGATTTTTTTCATTCTTTAAGCTCTCTATGAAATCGAGAACATTGAGAGTGTCCTTGCGAAGGGTAGAAAATGACACCTGCCAAAAGACCAAATATTATCAAATTCTCACAAAGAAAGACAGTTAATTCTATTTATATTATGTTCTTAGAGTTTGAGCAACTGGTCATGTATCCAAAATAAGCATGTCAAGAAAATGGTTTACTATGCATATGTTCAACTGCATTAAAAGAATATATTCAACTGGTGTTTTTTTCCCCTTCAAATTACTGGATTATGCACTAAAAGGGGGATGGACGACTTAATGAAGATCTTTTCTAACCATTTGTCCGAGGAGAGATGAATAGAGGTAACTGTCAAACATATAAACACAACCTCTTGAAAACTATATCTTACCAGGATTGATAAGCTTTATAATGTTTAGTTGTTTCTGCTTTATTCTTACAACAAGAAGTTTATAATTATGTCAATAAGTTCCTATTGTTTGTCATAAAATAGTGAATGCACATGTCTCTGACAGCAAAAACTTGCTCGTACTCGGAATTTATACCAAATCATACTAACTTATAATGGTTAAGCGATTTAATAACGTAAGAATATATATTAAGTGAAAGAAATTTATGTGCAGACACATGACATCCATTTGTTGGTTTAGTATATAAAGTAGCAATTAATCGGAAAGAAATAAAATAAAACAACAAGAAACAAAATTTATCCAATTCATGATATTTAGAGAAAAAGTAGTATGTATGTCACGGATTTCAATTTCTTCAACCATAGGTTCCATTGATGAAGTATGAGGTGATAAAACAGAAGTAGAGGCGATTAAGCGAAGGAGGGAATAATCACAACATACTTCACGGGTTTCAGTGTCTTCAACCGCAGGTTCCTTTGCTGAAACAGGAGTAAGTTTCTGCAAATAAACACCAATAGCATCAAGGTACGCTCCACAACGCCCGTGAAATCCCACAATAGCTCCACCTTCTCTCATCACAAGTGAAAATGGAGTTCCACCAGCCTCAGACCCAAATGGTCCATAATTCTTTGCATTAGTTATAAAACATAGAGATTTTATAACCGAATGGCTACCGCAACGTCCAAATGTCCCCTTGATGCCTGTTAAATATTCCAATGGATTTGCCTCAATAACAACCTGAGATTATTGCAAATCACATATCGGTTAAATAAGTAGCAGAGTCGGAAATTTTGACAAGAATTCAAAAAAGTGCAAGAATGTCATATTAGGATTCGAGATCTGTGACCTAAAGAAAATGTCGACACTTAGTTGAATCCTCTCAATGCAAAGGAATCGGCAAAGTTAAATATGAAGCAACATGTGCATACATATCTTTGACTTGAAAGATGCTTTTATAACTATAAAGTTTATGTTGTGTACACTGAAAATGGTGCAAAATGTTGCTACGAATGCCAAGTTAAGTTGACCTATAACATGTGATATTTCATATCAAGAGCCTTATAAGGTAACTTGAAGGTTGTAAGATAAATGAATAACCTGTTGTAACTGGTTCAATTGTCTTGATTATTAATTGTTATTGCTATGGCATGACACAAATTAAACCTGAGAAGAACGTGCCTACCATGATAAATAAATGACTTACCTTGTCTCTACATCCATCCGCACCAAACTTTGGTGAGTCTATGGTAGTACCTTGTTCAGTAACGGTTCTGAACATGATGGAGTCTATACAATCTCCATGAGCAATCAATATTTCTTTAATGGGACATTTCAGCATGTAATTCCATTCTGATCCACCAGTGCCTCCCCATGGCTCCACCAATATCGAGTCCGCTTGATCGTAACTCACTTGATTTCCCTTCTCGTACATAACAAATCAATGGCTCCATTATCAAATTTTAGCCCTATATTGGTAGTATTATTTTGCAGTGGAAAATAAAAAGAATGAATATAGATACAGTCATGTAAAAGAAAAGAAGGCAAGGTACCATTGTTGGCGATATGCTTTGATTTTTTGTTATTTTCCCTTTCTCTTAATATTTCTTATGATCATCTGATCCTGATCATTCTTTTTTTTGTTTAAGTTACTCATTCTATATAAGGAGTTAGAAGAGTAACATAAGTCATTAGCTTTAAGAAAGGGATGTGTCCTTGTGTGTAACTATGAGGTGAAGTAAAGGAAATAGAGGTGAATAAGCAGAGGACGAAATAATCACAACATATGTGAGAACTAGTTAATTTATCCGCCTTTGCTCGGTCACAAAAAATTACCAGAGTGATCATTTTATAAATTAGTCCATAAATAAAAAGGAGAAATATGGCAAATACTTAAACTAATTTTTCATCTATAAAAATTATATCTGACTATTAATAAAACTTAAAAATATCATAAAACAATAACGCTCTTCTTCTTGGAATATGTTACAAATTTTTATCTTTTTAAATCTAGCATTTAATCACGCCGTGTCTCTCCGTTTTCATCTCTATATTTCCTTATTGCCCACTGAACACTAAGATTCAAAGGTTAGAGGATCAATTTAGGGACAGGAAAAGAGGCATAACCTCAAAAATTAACATATTGGAACCAAAAAGAAAGATGATAAAGGATCATTGACACATGGCATCTAATCATATGACAGGTTGTTTAAAATTATTGCATAATGTGCGAAAAATATATAGATGTCCTGGTACTTCGCCTGATGGAAGTAATGTTGTAGCCACCAACGAGGGTTTAACAAAACTTGTAGGAAATTTGGTTTTGAAAAATATTCTTGATGTGTCCAGCTTAACGTGCAATTTGATATCTATGTCGCAATTGATGGATCAATCATATTGTTTTCCTGCGCATTAAGCTTTTATGTGTTATACATGACATTACCTCGATGTTGATTGGAGCGTGTGAACGAAGAGATGGACTCTACTATTTTTAGAACAAGTCAAGGGTGTGTGCGCTGAAGATAGTTAGTGTTGACTTGTTGGATCTTTGGTACAAGCATTTGGGACATCCTTCTCTACAAGTGACCAAATTTATTTTTGTTATAGATTTTCAGAAAATTTTTAACGTTTTGAATAAGAGTTGTGATGTGTGTCATCAGGCAAAACAAAAGAGAGAAAAATTTCCTTTGAGTAATTTTATAGTTTCTAGCATTTGTGAATTAATTCATTGTGATTTAGGTAGATTGATATATTTTTCGGGTTTTCCAGAAAGTCCAATGGAATTTTCTTGAGCCACCATAAATATGCCTTGGAAATTACCTCAGAGGTTGGATTATTGGTTTCTAAGCAGGTGGGAGTGCCTTTAGAGCAGAATCAACGACTAGCGTCGGCAGAAGGACGAGTTTTTGATGACTCAGAACGTTATCGTCATTTGGTAGGACGACTCATCTATCTTTGCTTCACACGGCTAGATTTGTCCTATTGCATTTACGTTTTATCCCAGTTCATGCCACAACCGAAAGAAGAGCATTGGCAAGTAGCATTGTGGGTTTTACTCTACTTGAAGGGGAATCCAGGACAAGGCATTTTGTTTAGTAAATGTGATTTGCGTCTCTATGGATGGTGTGACTCTGATTGGACATTTTGTCCTTTGACTCATTGCTCACTCACAGGTTGGTTTGTCTCTTTAGGTGACTCACCGATATTTTGGAAATCTAAGAAGCAGCATAACGTGTCTCGATCATCGGTAGAAGCCGAATATCATTCTATAACGATGACGATTTGTGAGCTGAAATGGCCAAATGAAATTTTGTCTAGTCAAGGAGTGACTTGCAATTCTCCTATTCGTCTTCTTTGTGACAGTCAAGCAGCATTGCACACATCCAAGAATTCAGTCTTTCATGAAAGAACCAAACATATTGAAGTGGATTGTTATTTTATTCGTGCCGAGATAGTAAATGAAAACATTTGTACCAGCTTTGTGTCTTCACATGAGCAGTTGGCAGATTCTTTACGAAGGCATTGGAAAAATCTTAATATGTTTCTCTCTTATGCAAGTTGGGCATTTGTAATCCACATGTGCCAACTTGAGGGAGGGTATTAGGCGTGTATATATTGTATACATTTTATGAAGGTGGAGCATCGGTCGTCCACAATGTAACTAGAGGTGAAGCACCTGTGGTCCATAGTGACCTAGTTGTTCTCCATATATGTTTAGGACTAAAAAATTTCATATTTGTTAGGACTAGGATTTACTATTTGTATATATATTCTTATTACTCAATAGAAGAAGGCAAGATTTTTCTCTTCCTCTCTGACCGAAACTCGGTCCATATTTTGGCAACAGCCATTAAAAAACATTAAAGCTTTAAATTTGAAAATTAAATTTTACAGTATTGTTATTTGTTTAGATTTGTTGTTGTTGCCAACGATTGGGAATATCTTTTGGAGTTTATATTTAAATTTTGAGGGAGTTTGGTGAAGATTCGAATTGATTTTGGTTGGAATTTTAGGTTGAAACTCGAAGAAGACATAAATAAATTGTATATATTTTGTATGTCGGATGTACAAATGACATACAATATATACAACTAACATAATTTTATACAAATTGTAAATAAGTTGTATGTATATATAGTTTTTTACCGCATTGTGTACAACAAAAGGTTATATTCAAATTGTATATAAATGTAGCTTTTGATTGAAATTACTGTTGAGAGTCCCATTATCATCAATTCAAAGGCTTCATCTTACGAGAATTCTTAAAAATTATTGTTGGCTGGTGCATGGTATGCTTATTTATTACTACTACTAGGGGTGTCAAATGAGCGGGTTGGGTCGATTTTGGGCGGGTCAAAACAGGTTGAGTCAATAATTGGGCATGTCAAATAACCCGCCCAAAGGTGTGTGACAAGAAGGAAGGGAGCTCGGCTAGGGAGGTGGGGAAAAGGGGGATATTGTTACTTATGGAAGTTAAGATTCTTTCATGGAATGTGAGGGGGATAAATGACCCAAGCAAAAGGGCCATCATCAAAGTGGGAGTTAGAGAGTGGGGTGCTAACCTAGTTTGTTTTCAGGAGACAAAAATGGAAGTTTTGTCGGATGTGATTGTGAGGAGTGTCTGGGGAGGTAGTTGGGTAAAATATGACTGGGTCCCAGCAGTGGGAAGTGTTAGGGGCATTCTTCTAATGTGGGATGATAGAAGCTTGGAGGTAAAGGAGATTAAGAAGGGAGTTTTTTCTTTAGCAGCTTTTGTTAAAGATAGAGTGAGTGGGGTGGAGTGGGGATTTGGGGAGTGTACGGACCGGTAGGAGAAGGGTCCAAGGAGTCTTTCTGGGAGGAACTGGCCATTGTGATGGGGGAATGGGACATTCCATAGGTTCTAGGGGGAGACTTTAACACTATTAGATTCCCGAAGGAGAGATTAGGGTTTAGTCTGATTTCGAGGGCCATGGAGGAGTTTTCTGACTTCATCAATGATCACTTTCTCATTGACCTTCCTCTGTTAAGGGAAAGGTTTACTTGAGCCAGGGCGGAGGATTCCAACTCAAGGTCTAGACTTGATAGATTGATGATATCGCCCTCATGGGATGAGCTGGTGCCGAATGTGCTGCAGATTCCTTTACCTAGGCCGACTTCAGATCATTTGCCTATTTTGCTAGATGGATGCAGAGGGAGGGGGTGCGTGCTCCCTTCCAATTCGAGAACATGTGGTTGAAAGTGTCAGGATTCGGCGACAAGGTGAAAGAATGGTGGACAAGCTATGGGGTATCAGGGACACCTTCTTCCGTCTTTCGAAAAAACTTAAATTGCTCAAGGGAGATATTATTAGGTGGAATAAGGAGGTTTTTGGGAGGGTAGAGGTTAAAATGAGGGAGCTTATGCATGAATTGGGGGAATTAGAAAGAGGGGAAGGGGCGAGGGAGTTAGATGAATCTGAGAAAGCGAGATTGGGGGAGGTTAAGAGGGAAATAGTCGAGTTAGCAATAGCTCAGGAGACTAGTTGGCGGCAAAAATCGAGAGCGCTCTGGTTAAAGGAGGGGGATTCGAATACCAAGTTTTTCCACAGGGTGGCGGTTGCAAATCGAAGGAGAAACTTCATAGAGTCCTTAGTTGTGGATGGGGTGA